GTTCTAAATGATCAGATGCATACCATTCACTGCAATCGTCTAGCAGGAAAAACTTTTTTCTTATTGCCCTACAATCATGGAAATCTGACTTCTCTCACAAGATTTAAAACACTCCAATCTCCAGCATGGATGCTGGTTGATATCTTATTATCAAAAGGTCTCAATCCAAAACATCATCAGCACCAGAGGTTCTAGCCCTTCGATATTTTTCAAAAACATCATCAGATAGATTGTCAACTGATGATAGCATTGTTAGACAGTTAAGAGGCCAGGGTGGTTTTTCAACTCTTGTTCAACTGCTGTATTACCATTCTTCCAAGCCTGTTAGATTCATGACACCATTGAGATAACCCAATGAAAATAAAAACCACCTTACTTCCCATCTCACAATTGTGCCCTCACCCCTTGTACTCAAGCGTGTAGTTATTTGAGCGGAGCTTATCAACTTGAACACGATGACGGTTTACCTTATGTCATGGAACACAACATTATAACAAATACCTATGCTACCTCTATTTTTTTTTCCACTAGTCTTGCATAGAGTATGACTATCTGAAGCAAGAACCTCTAAAGAAACTCCATATAATCAGCATAAAAAAGGAAGATTCTAATGGAAATGCTAATTCTGTAGCCTACAAAATTAGAGTTAGGAGTTGAAAATTTTAGGTAAGTTTTAATTTGCATCAATAGCACATAAGTCTTCAGTTCACCTTTAAGTAACCACTGTCTAACTCTTCATGACAGATCAAGTGCCAGACACTACTTGAATATCCACCCACCCCAGATAATAGCCCTTGTTGACAAGATTTGTATCCAATAGTAAGAGTTATATTGGCAAATTCTTAACCAATATCAAGCATAATTCCTGCCCATATAAAGGAAGAAATTACAATAAATGAACTTCGGTTTCTACCTTTCACCACAACCAACATCAAACAGCTACTTTAAAAAAGAAAAAGACTTCCTACTCTTCCCTCAAAATTTCAATGACATCCAGGCACAAGTCACCCGTAATTGCAGATGAGATAGAAACACAATTAACCAAAAATGATGCAAACCAACAAATAAACATAAAATATGAGACTCCATCATCTCCAACATTCCTCAAACAGACCATGCAGTCATCAAATAATGAAAAGGCAGGTCATACGCATAGAACCAAATCACAAATTATTCATTTAAAAAAAATGTGAAGAATTATATACAATATGTACATTGCATTGTAGAAAAGATGTTCTATAATACCCTTTCAGTTACCGAATAAGCAAATGGTACCCAATCTCAAAGGCACCACTTTCCCTCTCTCGGTATCACCAATGCCATCACCCACGAGCCTAACAACCTTCTTAAACGCAAAATGCACGCAATTCTACAAGGCAATCCAATACATCACCTCATAAACAAACCCGTAAGCAAAATCCGAAGACCGCGAGGAAAACCACCCCGAAGATTCATCCCAATCATGCCCTCCGAATTTATCGAAAATCCACCCCCTGCCGCCGCCACCAAAACCGCCCCAGACGCCTCCACCGCCAAAAAAACCATACTCCTCTCCCCAATCGCCGGCATCTCCATAAGTTTTCGATCTACTCCTGGTCCGCCGCCGTTTCCGGAGGATGGTGCGACGGGAGGTCTTGGATTTGACAGGGGGCGAGGCCAAGGCATCGACAATGGCGGCGCAGATTTGGGAGGATTGATCTGCGAGGTTGATGCAGTTTTGGCGATGGAGGAGCAGCGAGTTTCCAGAACATAGGGTTTGTTGTGCAGCTATGGTAGCTGTATCGGCGATTAGCGAGATGTTCATCGTGAATTTATTTTTTTTCCCAATTAGTTAGGGTTTGGGAATTTGATTTTCCCGGAAAATAAATGGGAAGGAATGTTGAAATTGAAATTGAAACGGACAAAGAATTAACGCGTGGCGGAGCTTTGGACTAACAACGTAAGAAATATTGAAACGGAAAAAAATTAATTTTATATAAAAAAGTTTTAAGTTGCATCATTTCAAATACATTCACAAACGGCTTCGAAGACGACTACGGGGGCTCTCGTGTTTTCAAACCTTAAATCTTATGTTTTTAGTTTTGAAACGGGGATTCAACAAATGGAGGATATGAATTAAAATCATTGTTATTAACCTGGCTAACGTAGCATGTAATCGTCAAATCATCTAGTTAATTTATTAATCTAACACCTTATTATCAAGATTTATTTTAGATTGGTTTAGATATTAGTTTTAAAACCTGGTTTGAACCAAAGATTAATAATTAAAAATATATTTTTATCAATGTTTTATATAATTATTTTACACTTTAAGTATCAATAATTCCTTAATTAAAACATGTCTTATAATAACATATCTAATAATATAAGATACCTTTAATTTGTGGTTAATATTTATCTTAAATACAAACATTTCACATAAATAAAAGGATTGATTGATGAGTTGAAATATTAAAATTGAAAGGACAAAGAAATAGTCAAACTTAGAAAAAAGATATTAGTGTAGTCCAAACTAAAATACTGTTCGGTAATTGGGTCATATCTAGAGCTGTAGATCTCGAATTTAGGTCTACTTTATATGGATGAAAAGGTAAAATGTAAGTCTACAACTTTCATACGAAGATCTAGTTTTAATAAGGTCATTTTTAAGTCCAAATTGTAGCATCAACGAAGAAATCCAAATCTGTCCTACAGCCCGAATATTGTTCAGTGTTTGACCCATATCTGGAGTTTTAGAAGTCCAAATGACCTCAATTTTTTTTCCTGAAAAGATGAGACAATTTTCTAGAACTTTCATCTTTTCAAGCGGTTTCAATTCTGATGTATCAATGATGTTTTAGGTACACAAAAAAAAAATAAGGATTGTCAACAAGTCAAGAGGTGGTCACTCACTCATCAATTAGTCATCAAATCAATAGTTTTCAATTTTAGTCTATAAAAAAAAAGCATTTGCATGCATTTAGACATCTTGGTTTCCAGATCCAGTGGCCACCCACTTATCAATTAGTCATCAAATCAATAGTTTTCAATTTTAGCCTATAAAAAAAAAGCATTTGCAGCATTTAGACATCTTGGTTTCCAAATCCAGATTATGTTTTTGTTCTCTCTTTATATTACTTATGTTTTGCTTTCATTAATATCAAGTTTATGCCTTTCATTTCCTTTCCTTTACTTAGTTAACTTTATGTTCTT